CATGAATCAGTGCCCTTTGAATTTTCTATCTCACTGACTTTGGAAAGGAAGTGATCTGTACATTTGGTTGAAATTTTTTTCTTTGCAAAATTTTCAGATGTGACAAGGGCTCAGGGTATATCTGTACTTGTAGGGCAGTGTTTCTCAATACACAATGAAATATAATCACTTACGTTTTCCAACACAATACTGGGTATCTTCATAGCTGCTCTGACTTTCTAATGGTTATAAAATTCATTTTCCTGCTTTGTTAGTAAGGTTCAACACTAACGGCCACCATGCTATTTATATAGATTTTAATTTCTTCTTTTTAAGATTGTTTTCTATATCTATTTATGCAATATTGAACATGATTCTTTACGTCAATAGCTTTCAGTTTTTTCTGGCATTAATTTTGAGATGCTGAAAGAATATAGTGTGTCTGATATAATGCTTTTGTTCAAGTTTCTCACAGCAGAGTTGGTGGCAGGATTTTGATCCCTTAAAGTTCAATGTACTAAGTAATATGATATGAATAAAGATTGATTAATCTGGCAATACAGTTGTTACTCAAAAAGAATCTTTTCCAGAGAAATAATGCCAAGTTTTGAAATGTCATTCTGCTTTTCCAAAAACAGAGATGAATGGAATGAAGACTAGATGTGATCGTTATTGAGAGGAAATTTGAAATGGTTTACCTGTGAATTTGGGCTTTATCTGAATGTAGTTAAAAAAAACACTGATAATGTTAAAAGAGACAAAATCAGGTTTTTATTTTAGGGAAATCTCTTTAATGAGCTTGTGGGAGATAGGTAAAGGTGAGACAGACTAGAGTTAGGGAGATAAGAATTGAAACTCCTGGAATTATTCAAGCTAGAAAACCACTCATAAGGTAAAAGACAATACAGCATATTAGCTAACATCCAGGTCTCGGGTCCACAGACTTGGAGGTTGGATGCACCTAAGATCTTACATGACATTTGGATGTTCGAAAGTTGTGTTGGACAGTATTATTCAGTTAAAAGAAGAACAAGCCTTTTTGGTTGAATTGCACTGATAGGGAATTTATGGTGTGTAACCGTTACTCCCACCTTGGGAACTAGACACAGTTGCTTTCTCTCTAATAGGCCACCCAGTCTCTCTCCCATCCTTAGTGCTGCTGTGTCTATTCCAATGCCTTGCTCTTTTAACACACTTTTCTTACTCAATTTCCAGCACCTCATAGTGTCTGCCTGCCTATGGCCATCATGGCTTCTCAGGCTTTCTACTACATAATGAATAATCTGAGTGGAAAGACAGAATTGCCTGGGTCACAGTCCCAAGACAGAAATATGGATGGCTCTGGTCGTCTGATCAAGCCATATCCCTGTAGCCTACTCTGCAGCCCTTTGGCTGACTCTGCTTTTGTAATGAGAGGATGGTAGGAGAATATGGAAAACGGAGGATGAAATGATTACCTTTAAAAAGGATGGTGAAATGAATTTCCAGAGACAAGTTCAAAGGAGAATTAGGAATGCAAATCTGTTGAATGTAATAACTATTAAATATGAAAAATAAGAAGTTTCTTGATGTGATCTACGAATAACTGGAATGCCAGCTACTTAAACAGGGAAAATAAGAGAAAAACTTTGGGATGGATGCAATCTTAGATTTATGAGTCAACTTTGTAGAAGGGATACCAAGAGGTAACCATATGTACAGTTTGACTTTTAAGAGATATTTGGTCTACATGAAGCCATTTATCACCACACTCTCTTTTGCCTTCTGACATTTTCTGTCATGTAAGTCTTCATCACTGCTTCTCCCTCCTCCTTACTTGCCTACTCTGCTCTCTTTCTTTATGTAATCTCTTTTGAAGATTATATGTTTCTAGAGTCCCAATTCTGTCTTTTCTTTATCGTCTTCGTATCTTCTACCCTTCAAAATTGCACCGAGTCCTAAATGAGAAAATACCATACTTATGCCTGTGAGTTATAATTTATGATCTTTAAACAGACATATCCAGTTGCCTACACTTTCTTCATGTGAAGGTCTTGATTTGAACCTCCAGTGGCTCACTTACCTCCATCCTCTTTGCCTTATTAAATAATACTCCAAGTCTCTTGCCTACACAAGCCAGAATTTGGGGACCATCCTTGATACTGTCTTTTGCTCGTTTCCCTCAAACCCTCAATTCTATGTTCAATATATATCGTGACTCCACTTTCTTCTTTCTACCACTATTATCAAAGAACATATTAATATAACCATTCAATGAATTCCCACTCATTTTTAAAATAAATTTAAATCCCAACAATGTTACATGATTCTCATCTGTTACCTTACTATACACTTCTACAACAGTGTATTATAGTCACACAACTAGCTTTTTCCAAAACTTTGTTATTGGTGTCTCATCCTCCTCAAATAATCTTCATTGGGCAGGCACCTTTTAATTATGTAAGGCAGGACTAAATAGGAAAATCTTTTCTGTGTCTAATACAAAGCAGCCTCCTTCCCATCATGCACATATTAATGCCTTTTGTTCTTTTCAATTTTCACAGTATTTTGCTCTCTGAAGTTTTGTTTTCCCCTCCATTGGTTTGTTGAAGTTTGGTATTCCCAAACCACTTACTAGACTCTAAGCTTCATAAGATAGAGATGTTGGTTTTCTTGGCTACTCCCATGTGTCTGATGCCTACAGTAGTGCCTGGTAGATGTACTAATTTAAGTTGCAGAATAAATGTTTCAGTTAGTTCTCACAAAAGACTTGAAATTTCTTCTCCTTTCTGTTATTACCCGCATAATCTATTTTTCACAAAAGACCAAAGATCATCCTCTGAAAATGTAAAACTAACCACAACCCTGTACTGATATAATCTTTGCAGGCTGTGTAGTTTCGGTCAAGATCAAATCCATTTATGTTGGTTTTCAGGGCCGTGCTTCTCAGTTACGACTCTCCACTGATCTTTCCATTCGTGGATATCAAATTTTCCTCTGGTGGGATCCTTCTTCCTGATGTTCTTTGGATAGGCATTTTCTCTTCTTTAGAGTTTGGTATGTGATTTCTTTTTCTTTCTTTCTTTCCTTTTTTTTTTTTTTTTTTTTTTTTTTGG